CTCTCTCTCTCTTTCTCTCTCTCTTTCTCTCTCTCTTTCTCTCTAAAATACAAATAGATAAATAAATAAATAAAGCATGGGTTAAATAGAGAACATTTTCCTCATTTAAAGGGTTTGAACTTTCTTGAAAAATGCTATGATTCTAAGTACTAGGTTGAGTGATATAGGCAGCTCTGTTAAATAGAAAGATAAGGCAAGCTGTTTAGGTAATTTAAAATTTTCTAAGAGCCACATTAAAAAAAGTAAAGAAACAGGTGAAATTTATTTCAATGATATATATTATTTAATCCAGTATATCTAAAATGTTATTATTCCAACATGTTATCAAATTAAAGAAAATTATTTTTAGTTAAAGTCTTTAAAATCCAGGATGTATTGAGTCACGTTTCAGGAGCTCAGTAGCTACATACAGCTAGTGGCTACCATATTGAATGGTACTGGTAAAGACCATTAGAGTATACTTAGAGTCAGCAGAGTAGAATTCCCTGTAGAAGTATTGATTGAGACTTTGAATTAGCGAATTCTCTTGTATAGCAAAGAGCTAACGAAGTTCTCTAATATAGTGTCTTGACTCAAAGTCAGAGAGAGGGAGTTGAATAAATTTCTGATGTCACTGAGCTATATAGCCCTGGATTCCATGGCTTATCAGTTATACTGTTAGCTTTCTGATATTTGGATTATTTGAGTAATTTCAAAGAAATACTTTGAAATACTTTGATTGTAATGATCTTATTCCTTTTCTTTTTTTAATGTAAATATATACGTTAATATGTATTTAATTGTAAGTGCATTTTAAAAACTAAGTATACACATATACACGCACATTCACTACTTGTGTGGTTCTTGTGAAAAAGAAACTTGCTGTGTCACATGTTTTAGTTTTTCTCATTACCAAACTAATACTTGTTTTACAACAATTTTTAAGGTTTCATATGTTACGCAGTACCCTCTACTATCTGAATGTTAGAACCCGGATCCTGGGAACATTAGCAAGTGCACAGCACTGAGGAAGGACTTTGAAGAAATATGTAGCTATTTTGAGGAAGAGGCTCATACTTCAGAAAATATAACAGAGTTGTGTGTTCCCAATGTTGTCATTGTTCCATCAAAAGTGGTACTTGTAAATGTAGGATCAGCTCTTTAATGAGATGCCATCAGCAATCACTTTGTTCAGGTTAGTTTGTACTGAATCATTTCAAAGCTGTCTAAGCAAATTCATATCAAATTGTATCATATTTTGCATTTTGCCATGTTTTTCATCATTTCCTGTATATAAATGAAGAAATTCAGATTTTCCTTAATAACACCTTTATGTCCAGCTACATTCTTTTCAGGTAGTACTCCTTCCAGATACACTGTTTCGGCAGACGCTTCATCAGCATTTGTTGCCTAAGGCTGAGAAGAAACTAGCCGCTGTGTCTAACTCCTTGTGCATGTACGGCTGTCCTCTAGCTTTGAGATCAATAGCCAAGGCCTTTCAGTAATTATCAACCTAGAGTAAAGGGGAAGGAGCAGAGAAGTTTGGTATTTACTCTTGACTTGGAGAAATACTGTGCCTGTAGCATTAATAGAAATAGTTATAAGAGGGAAAAGAAAAGTCTGAATACAAGAACAAAGACAAGGTTCTTTGTGTATGAAAAGAGGAGGAGGAAAAGGAACAAAGAAAGCTGTTTTACGGAATGGGAAAAATTGCTATAATTTTAGTATCAAATACGTGAAAAAGTTTCTGAAAATCAAGGGGAGGAGAGAGAACTGAGAGTTTGAATTCTGATTTAATGCTAGGTGCAACACAGAACCAAGCAAACTAAGGGAGAATTGCATAAGTAAAGGCATGGTTTTTGGTGTTAGGCAAATCTGGGTAGAATTCTGACCTGAATGAGTCATTTAGAAACTGAATGACTCCTCCTTAGTCACAAGACTTTCTTCCTATTCTGCATCGTTGAGATAATAGTAATTATGAGGATTAATTGGAGTAATGTTTTTAAAAACTTTGGAACTTGGTGAGCACTTAAATGTTTCTTATTTGTTTGTTTGTTTATTTATTTAGAAACTCCCACCCTCAGTGATTAGCTGAATCTCAGGTTCAGTGTCTGGTACCACAGGGGATTGGGATGGTGACAGAGACATCCATTGGACTGATATTCCATTTATCTTGCCATGGATTATGATAGACTTAGCTACTGATGTGGTAAAACTAAGAATATAGAGAATGCCATTGGAAGACTGACGTTTTACTGACCTGAATATTTTTTACCCCTAAAATTTACAATAGT